TTTTACTGTTTATATATAGGACAGAAACCTCTATCTGGAAGACTGAAGAATACTGCTGTGCCAAGCATTTTCTTTTGGACAAAGGAGACAGAAAGTTCATTTGGCCGAGCATCCAGAGCAGAAGGCAGGGATAGCAGAAAAAGAAAGTTTGATGAATTCTGCCATGAAGAATTAGAATGCAGTTTCACTGAATTAGACTGTGTGGAAGAAACTGTGCTAGCTGATGACTCAAAAGTGTGTGACGAGGAGGAAAAATTAAACTCTGTTGAATTAAGAGACACCTGTACACAAACACAGTCACAGCCAATATTTTCAGTTGAACAGTTCGAAAAGGATAATTCAGCCATACATTTTTATACTGGCCTTGAAACTTATGCCAAGTTTTTGTTTACACTGCAGTCACTTGGCCCTGCTGCATATTGTTTAAGATATGTATTTTTTCAAGTTCAAGGGGTATCTATTCCCAATCAGTATTTTATGACACTTATGAAACTACGGAGGTATACTACCAATTTTGATCTTTCAAGATTTTTCAATGTTTCAGAAAGTACTGTTAAAAATATTGTTCTTACCTGGATTTTATTTATGTCAAAACAGTGGCGAGAGATTTCAATTTGGCCATCTCAATCTCTTGTTCGTTATTTTGCACCATCAGATTTTAAGTCAAAATTTCCAACTACCAGAGCCATTTTAGATGCAACTGAATTTCCAATTAAAAAACCAAGTACACCTAGGGCACAGCAAGCCACATTTTCAACATATAAAAACAGAAATACAATGAAAGCTTTAATAGGGTGTACACCAGGAGGCCTTGTGAACTTTGTTAGCCCAGCATATTGTGGGTCGACAAGTGACAGGCAAATAGTTGAGAGAAGTTGTCTTAAAAATCTTTGTGATCAAGGTGACAGTTTAATGGCTGATAAAGGTTTTAATGTCCAAGATATTTTTGCTTCTAAGGATGTTACTATAAACATTCCTACATTTTTTAGAAATAGGAACAGAATGTCAGGAAGAATTGTTCTTAATGATAGAAAAGTGTCAAGTAAAAGAGTTCATATAGAAAGAATTATTGGACTTGGTAAAACTTATAAAATTTTAACACATCCTTTAACAAGTGCTGAAGCATGCATGTCATCAGATATAGTATTTGTCTGTTTTATGTTGTGCAATTTTCGCACTGGTATTGTATCATCAAATGCATAGAAAAATTTTTTTTTTCAAAATGTCTTTAGCTTTCATATTTCAAATTTGAAATATAGGCAGAAATATTGATGCTAAATAAGATAAGAAATGTAGACAACACTATATGTACTGTATTTGTTTAGAAGATTTCTATGTATATTTTATTGCACACATTCACAAAGATTCACTGTAAGGCTTGTAGAAATATTTCTCAAGAATTGCTCGTTTGAAGTAGTCTTTGTAAAAGTTGTTTAGCTTATTAATCATGTCAGCTATGAATGCATCATCACGTTTGATTTCAATGTATGTGATGTCATTTACTTTCAAATTGTTTGCTAAACATACAGTAAAAATACATGTGTTTGCACCGGTACACAGTAGTTGTCCTTGTATCTGATAAAAGTAGTCATGGTTGGGATCAAGACTATATTTTCCTTCGTTGGTCTGCTTTAAATATGGCACCGTCAGAGTTGAAATCTTTTTATTTCTACTGACATATGGACATTTGACTTCTACAAGCTCCTGTTGATTGATTATTCCGTCAGGTGATGCAGCAAGAAAGGGGTACTCCTTACAAACGACAAGACCACTTGATTTAACATTTTGGAGCTTATCCTGTTCAAATCTCTTGATCGCAACAGATTCATGCCTGCGACCATGCTCAATTGAATTGCTTTTAATGTTTTTGATAACTGTTAGTGACATGGCAAGTTTCATTTTGTCAGTTCTATCAGTACACTTACATATCCTACCAAATATCGAAGATGTTAAACGTTTTGCTCTCTCCTCCTTCCATGTTTTGTTTAGACTCTGCCCTTTTGTTGCTGACTTAATATTTTCAATTTGGAGATCTGATATCTTTGTAATTTGTAATTTTTCCAAAAAGTTGTCTTCAGGAGATAATTTTAGATAATCATGGTCATTTGCTACTGCAATCATGTTTGCTGGTGTAAATATCTGATAGATTGGCATCTTAGAAATACCTGAGAAATTCAAACATACATTTCTAAAGTAGTGAGGATAAGATGGATTATTTCTGAATTCTTCAGGTCGTGGGTCAATAGCAATATTTGTTAATTCATCAGCACCAGGTAAATTCAGGTCATCAGATTTAATGGGACTGCCTTTGAATCTTTTAGACTTGTGGAATGTTTGCAAACGTTGTGTACATGTTTCCTCTGTCTTGATAAATTTATTCTTTGCAAACATAACAGCACCATACATAACTGCAGCTACATGTTTACAATGTGCATCAGGCCCCATACCTGCTGCACATTCGCACTGGGCCTCCAGAACAGACCCTTCATTGCTCAATTTAATATCTATTGTGTAACAAACACCCTTTCTCATTTCTGCACGACAGTTTCCTCTAATAAATGTACAGGCTGTATTGATGGATACACGGTAGTATGTCAGGAAATTGTCGTCATAAAGGTGAATAAAATGATTTTCAAATTTCTTCTCAAACCTCCCAAAATAACTATGAACGGTATCCATGGACAAACCAGAAAAGGGAGTGTCAGAATTTACGTCAGCGTACGTATCGTAACTTGGAAGTTGCATACAAAATTCTGGGTCAGTGTATTCAACTTTTCCGAAGTTGAAGTTTCTGTCATATGCTTCCAGTCTATGGAAAATTAAAAGAAAAAGAAACTGTTTTATATTTATTTACAATTTACGATTATTTAATTAATCGCCATATTGATATATTATATTTTAAGACGAAGAGTTCAGATTGTCGGCATGCAGCACGAGGTATTATCATGCGGTTTTCAGTATCGAATTACCTGTCGACCAGTTCTTGTTTTCGTCCCGTTATCCTGGCATTTCTTTTTCTTAGCTCATTTTTAAGATCTATAATTGTCATGGAGCCGTATTTTGAGTCGCTCATGATTAATATTTCGCGTGTATATAGAGACGGTATTTATATTACGTTTCTTGTTAATCGCTGCGTTGTGCATCCAATGTAAACAAGAGATGTGATGGACCGGGAACAGTATCGCCATCTAGCGGGAAGCAGGGGAACGCAACTCACTACTATTTACCATTTGGCAACTACTAAAAATTACGACAGGTTAGAATTTAGCACTTGTAATTGTATTAAATGTCAGGGGCTTTATCAAAATATCTGCCAATATGAGGCATGTAAACGTGAATGAAGTACACCAGTGCGCACGCGCGTAAGTTAAGCGACCTATAATTGTTGCCCATTCATAAAACAAATTCCAGCGTAGTGGTGTAGTAAGTGAATAAGAAAAGAATGACAATGCATTTTTTTCACTTTCAACCTTTTCAAACTTGTTTAGAACGAAATTGAATGCTATTAAATATTTAAACAGGCCTGGTCCAAAGATGTTTACAAACATTCAAAACATTTAAAAAATCTTTATCTGTTAAAATAATTATTTTACCGAGTTCTATAAAATAGCATCATTATCTTTTATTCTTTAAGGCATTCTGTACTAAATTAAACCGGGTCGATCTATCTTAAATTTCAGTACTTTACATGCTTATAACCTTTCCGCTTTTTAATTCATTTTCACATCTATAACAGTTAATGATAGAAAAAATATGATACATTTTAAAAATTTTCAGGACAGATGATACACAATGTATACCCGATTTGGTACATTTTTGACATAATCTGGTTGCACGAATGCAAATATTGATTCAATAAATAATTTTTTTTTTTAAATTGTAAATTAAAAAAAAAAGCATTGCAATATAAATCATTACGAGCCAACACATATAAAAATACAACCATAGCATATAGTTTTGAAGCCACCACATATAATTATACAATAGAACCACAACATAAAATAATGGACACACAGCATATAATTATAAACCCACATCATATAATAATGAAACCATAGCAAATAAAAAGAAAAGAACCAGAGCATTTAATTATAAACCCACAGCATATAATAATAGAATAACAACTGCGGCATATAATTATATATACTAGTATTTAAACCCACAGCACATAATAAAGTAACCACAGCCTATAATAACACTATCTAACAGAATGAAGCCATATCGTTCCATATTTTGAGTAACTTTAATTTCATCTAACGCAGCATAATGATTATACAAAATTTAGGTAATGAAATTGTGCAATATAAAATTTGTATTCATGCCTCCGTCCTTTGTTTCTATCAGTATTTTGATTTTTGACTTCAATCATCTCAAATTGAAATTTGTTTAACTCATCCTGTAGTTCTTGAGAACTTTTTTATTTTGCATAAAAATCTTAAGGGGTAATATTTTGAAATGTAAATATTTATATATTATTATCATTGTCATTATCGCTATGACATTCTATTACAATCTTTACCCAGAGTTGTCGTTCCCGCTTTTCTCCCACATACACGTCTGCCAACGTTTGTTATACGATATTCTTAAAAAATAAAAAAAAATTGTATGAATGATAGTTTTTAATTATATATTTCTTATCGGAAAACATTATTTATTTTACTTTATTACACCTTAAGGATTTTATAATTAAGATTTTAATTTTGACTCTGCACAATGGTTCACAAAAAACTTTGAAAATAACTCAGTCTGAGTGATTATAGATATAAAATAAATGATGAATTATCATCTTTATCAATAATAACGATAATTAATTATCATTAAAATTTCGACGTTTAAAATTTGTTCAAGAATCTTGTACAACTAGCGTTGACAGTAGTGTTGTGAGCGTAGCGGAAGATAACTCTGGATAGAGAATGATTCTATTAAGAAAAGGGTCTGATAAGCTATTTTTAGAAAGGAAAATTTCCATCTTAAAATTAGAATACACGATATAGGAAAAAAATGCGTAGAAGGTTCTGAAGCGAAAGTCATTAAACAGAAAATTTGACCGTGTATAGTGACAATGAGGACAACAGAACGACTGCACATACTGTCTGGAGTTGTGTGTATTTAATGAATTCATTATATTTTGTTTTGTGGTAGCAATCGATTTGCTCCAATGCATTTCATACTACCTAGTGCCTAGGTGGCACAATGAGACTTAAAGAATGGCGGATATCTGACTAAATCAACTACCTCATCGAATCAAAGAAAGGCAACACGGTATTTCTTCCCTCAGGTCGGTTTTATTTACCAATTTATCGTCGAATCCTTTTTCTTTTAAAAGATATTTAATCTTTTTTTAGATTAGGACTGAGTGACCAGACCATGAGGCATGACAGCCATTGACATGTCTGTTATGAAGACTTTGTGTGTGTGTTTTTTTTTTTAGTTTTTACATTATTCAGCAACCTTTTGTTTGCAAATTTCCTTCAGCTCTTTAAAAATCAAATGAATTGATTTGTTTGCATGTTATTTATTTTTTTGATCATATCAACAGACTGCTGATCATGATTACCTTGACCTTGTTTTTAAATGTTATTATTGTAATACATGTAGGCGTCTACAATAACGAATTCAAAGTGAATTAAGATCTTAATGGATAAGGAAATGAAGTTTTTATAATTATATTGATGAATATAGCGGTGTAGGGATACGTCTGAACAATTCGAAATATAGCCTGAACTCCTATGTACATGTAATAGTATACCTAAAGGTTGATATGTAACAAGTTTGATAAAGTATTTGAATCTTTTTTCAACGGGTTGTGCTTTAACAAACCCTTTGAAGGAATTTTGGATATATCCTCATTTAGAGTCATGTAAAGGTAGAAAATGATTTGTGTTATATGTAAAAAACTTCTCCCAATTGGAAAATACATATTAGACAAATTTTGAGAAAGTTATAAATTGCATAACCCGTATAAGTGATCTCTTTTTTTAGACTGATTTCATTTTAAAACTTCACATTGAGATATCTGTTTTTTATTAGACAGTTTTTTTTCATTTTCAGAAAATGTGATATTAATATCCTGGCATTATGACAATGTGAGAAAATATCAAACAACAACATAAGCATCACTTTACCATGGCCTCATCTACTCCAACTGTACCTCTGTGTAGAGGAATTCCGGCCACAGGAACCACGCCTACTGTTTCACCAGAGGAAACAAATTTTCTTCGCTTTGTTAATCTGGTCCTTAAGAGAGCACCAAAGGCTCTGAGGGTCCATTTTGATACAGTTCATCCTCCAAGTAACCTTGTTTCTGACCTAGTGACACAGAGACCTATGCTGTTAAGCTTAAAAGCTAGAAGAGTAATAAATCAGGTCCAGTGGGATACATTATTTGGAGGTATTTTGGAAGACAATGTTAAAGAAAGTGTTTAAACATGTACCTTTCAAGATGTTCAATATCAAAAAACTTCACCAATTCAAAGATAATATTTTATGATAAATTAGTGATTTTAAAAATACATAAGCAGATAAATAAAGGGATGAGGGGCTGCAGGCGGATCGAAAGATTCGTATCCCCTCCCTGTATTTGCGATCACAATTTCATTTATCTTTTACAGAAAATCATCGAATATTTGTTTGCATTCTCTATGTAAGCTTAACACTCAGTGATAAAACAATTTAGATCTCTCTATATCTCTCTCTATCTCTCTCTCTCTCTCATCTAAAATTTCCATATTATATTTCAATTATTTCAGTTAGCAATCCTGTGTCAAAGGACTTTGATGTAACACTGCTAATCTGCCTTTTACGAAACATGAGTCCCTGTACACCAGCACCAACAGGAGGATTTGATATTCTACCCAATCCATCAGATGTTAGTACTGGGTCTGACTTGGCAAGAATTAAGTTCTACAGAAACATGGTGGCCCATTCAAAAGATGCGAAGATGAACACAAATGAATTTAATTTAAGTTGGACAGATGTTGAGGAAGTAAGCAAAACTATTACTGTAAAGCGGGTTTTTTTGCGGGTGTAAAATTTTGCGTTTTGCCCGCTCAAAGGTATGCCAATAATTTTGGCATAATTTGTTTTATCTGACGCAGGGTTTTAGCTCTTTGCAGATGAACACTAAGAGAGTAATCTATTTTAATTGTTAAAATTATAGCGCCATCAAAACGCCAAATAAGCCAAAATTAGTACCCCGCTAAAATTACCAGCTATAAGCCTTTAAGAGTCGCTGCCTTAAAACAGGAACATTTTGAGCTGCTCTGCAGTTCAATTGTCGCAATTTTTAAATCTGGATAAGTTTGAAACAAGTCATCGCAATTTTAATTTTCTTTTTAAATGCAAATTGTTTCTATTGTTAAAAAAATTATACCAAATTTGGATAGCATATGACGTTTAATGAAAAGGATATGACAGGAGTCCATCAACTTCTCGAAAAACCCCCGTATCTATCTGGTTTTCTCAGGGAATCATGTCCTTTAACAAATGGTCGAAATTCCTTGCGAGGTAAAAGCAATTTTTTTTTTCGATGCCCTCTTCGTGTATATGTACATGTACCTGCATGGTAAATTTATATTTGCCATTTTTGTAAAAGTTATAGTTAACAAAGTTTGAATTTTGCATCCTAGATTGTGTGTTTTTCACCTTTTTTAAACTTCGTGCAAAATTAAAGGTAAAATACTAAAAATTAGAATTGAAATTGCAAGCTGTAAAAATCCTTGCGTTTAGGATATTATGTTCATCAAATGTTACTTTTGATATTGCAACACACACCCTATTCTTTGCACCACAAGTCATTGCAGCCCGGAGTGTTGGTGTATGGGGATTTGGATAGGAATAGTTATTTAGAATTAAAGGTTTTCTAAACATTGAAAAGATTGTTAATCAGAATGTTCTTTCCGTTTATAAATTACGAGATACATAATATATATACTTCCAAAAAGTGAATCTTTAAAATTATATGTTTTTCATATTAAATATATAAAGTTCTAATCATTTACTATCGAAAAAGCGACAGGTCCCGTTTTTTAGAACATCGAATTTTACTTCTCGGATAAAAACGTACTCTGCACAGTTCGTGTTTTATATTCTAAAATTAAAAATTTATACATTTTTAAATATAGGTGATGCGTGTGTCTACCTTCAATTTATATTTTATGCAGCCAACACTTACTTGAGGGATTTACTTAATGTTTTCAAAATATTTGCGACCATCGTCTCCGTCAATTGGACGCATGCCTTTTCACACATATCGAAGCGGTGAGATGATCAAGACTCATTTTCATTGTTTACTTTATATATTTCCCTTGCGACAATTGATGGTTACATCAATGTTTTCTTGTTTGATTTGATGTAACTCGTTTTACATTCGCTGTAGCTTTACTTGAAGTTTATCTAATCCCCCAAGTACTGGAGTACCCCTTTTATCACTTCATTTATATTTGCAAATACTACTGAGTACTCGTGTTTTAGTGTGACTAATTAAACTGAATTTCAAAAAGGATTGTATGCGTGACAATATGTCCAGTTTGTATTACAAAAATCATTTCCGATCCTCGACACTAAAGTTGCTGAACAATGGTAAAAATGTCGACTTCATTGTCCTGATTTAGCTCTCTTACTGCATTATAGACAACAAGGAACACCTGCAGCGTTCTACACCATCTCTGGAATAATACTTATGGCTTGATAGAAACATAATTTGATGGCTTCTTTTTGGAGCGAGTTAAGTTTTATCTAGAGGACTGTAAGTTCCCCTCCCTTTCCATCTAAATGTAAAAATAAAACAATTCACCATTCAAAAAATGATTAGACAATGATTGGTTTCCGATACAATGGTACTTTACTGATCCTTTTTATAGAGAAACGAGTCTTCAGGAATTTATGTGACCATCGAGGTTTTGTGTTCATTACTTCCGAGTCACTGAAGATTGGTTGATTGATTGATTGTATGTTGTATAACATCCATCTCAAGAATTTTTCACTCATATTGATACCCAACCACTTGCTGGTGGAGAGCTACAAATTTTGTCCACACTCAGCACTCAGAAACATTGAGCAGTGAAGAATTTATTTCCAGCCAGCACCTACTGCGACACAGGACTTAGGTTTATACTATCTCATATGAAGGACCGGTGTCCACATCCGACAGTGGGGTGGGACCTTGGGGAGACGCTCATCATAACATAATCGAAAAGCAATCTGAGCTGAAACTTTGATGTCGGAATATTTGGTGCAAACTTGTAAATAACTATTTCAATCATAGCAAAAAAAAAAAAAAAAAAAAAAAAAAAAAAAAAAGAAAAGTTTATAAAATAAGTTTACATATTTGCTATGTAAGAACTATTTATAGGCTCCGATTGAATCAAAATTACATTATTGTCGTCCTGTACAATAATGATTTTTTATATTAAACTGTATCTTGGACTGTATATACAAGTCTTTTTTCTGCTTTATTTTAGTCCAATTGATCCTTATAGTTTAAGATACATGCAAAGTTATCATAATAACACATTTTGGCAGCAAAATCAAATTTCCATAAATGAAGCTCATATTACTTTAAGGTTAGGTGCACCAAGATTTCTTCTTTTGTTGGAATTGGTTTGCAAAACTTAATTTAATATACATCATATCATATGCAGATCTTTAAGAGAGAGGGATGCACCGAAAACCCAACACACTGGATTTATGAAATGTGAAGACAAACTTTTGACAAACTTGCTGATGAAACAAATATATCAAATTTCTTGTTTAAAGCCATTATTTCCCAGGTTCTATGGTCGATACAATGACCTTTTCAGCATTTACAATCTACGCAGCTATGTCAAGACATCTCAAAGCTAAAAAATGTGTTAAAAAATTATACATATTATTGCATTGGATTGTCGGTTTTGATTTCAATTTGTTTTAAATTGTATAGTTAAGTACATTCCATTTATTTAGAGGGCCCTGGGATATCTGACATTTTACCTCAGGAAAAATGTTCAAAGAATATCTACCTACATGATGAAAATGCATGTCGATAAAGTGTTCAATTAATTTATCATGGCCTATTTAAGTGTTGAATATGCCTGAATTGATTACATGTACAAATTGTGTAAATCACGGTATGTTGTAATTTATTTCATTTTGATCCAGGGACAGATAACTCTATCTGAAAAATATACCATATTATTAGAACTCCTTGCTGTACAGTATAGAGAGGATTCTTTGGTATATCTATTCAATGCAATCATGGAGGTCAGAGAAGATCATATCAGTATAAGAATTCGTTTATTTACCGCAACTTATCCCAACTGCTAGACAATCACAGTTTTCGGAATTGCTTTCCTCTAAAAAAAATATTTCCTCCTTCAGTATTTTAATAAGTATCATCTAAAAACAAAATACATATTCCAAAATTAAATTGACCTGTTGGACTGAGTAATAAAATCGATATTCCAGAATCTGTATTCACATAATTGTTTTCCTAATACAGGGGGCATGTGTATTAACAACTTTGAAAATTAAATCTTTTCAGGCGATTGGAAGACTTGGAGGTTCAGCATTACTGAATGAAACAAAAGCTTTAAGATTTTCTCCACTTGATGAATCTGAGAGAGAACTCTTTTTAGAAATAAAACGACTGATGTTGGAACAGTCAGAGACGGTCCCTTGGAATGTCAAAGGTGACTTTTTGCAAATAAATTGCTAAAAAAAATTGACATAATTTTCTACCAAGTTTCAGTAAAGAGGTTTTGAACTTAGTAATCTTTAACTTGGACTTCATATTTACTTTGACATTTTGTGTTACACTTCCATGAAATGACCGATATATCTTGATTCAAATCTTTCAACAATAAAAAAATAGAATGATTATTATTTCCAAAGTTTAATACTTTTCAAAAAGGGTAAATAATAGTTTATTACAATGGTTTTGCTTTGCTTTTCTATGTAGAATTAATAGAAGAAAAAATCTTGTCCTGGGAAAAAGAAGATCAAATGTTTGTAGAAATAAAACCTTCTACAGCTGTCGAAACGTTTATAAGAGAAAATCCATGCGTTGTTGTGGTTGGCCATCCGGGGTCGGGAAAATCAGCTATCATTCACCACATCGCCTTAAATTTGGGCAGAGAAGGGTTTTCTATCATACCCATCAACCGTCCCGAAGACATTTTGACATACCACGATAGAAGAAATCCGCAAGTCTTTGTGGTCGATGACCCCTGTGGGAAATATGCAGTCAATGATCAAGCTTATGAATGGGCAAAACATTCTGAAGACATTAAAAAATGTTTGAATTTTAAGCAAAACAAAGATCAAGTTGAGTCAAAACTTCTCATTTCATGTCGTTTAATGATATGCTCTACCCGCGCATTCCGAAGAATTAAGATATTTTCCAATGTCTTATTC